ACTGGTACTGGGGATATCCATCGGTACATCTAGTATAGTCCCCGACCCTCAGACATGAGGATGGGACTAGGTAAAAGGTAAAGGTACATCTAGAATTAGGATATGACAGACTGAGTACTTTCTCAGGTCTTTTGGTTATTTGCATTCAGTCTAGAAGTAGAACAAAATAATTATGGGTTCACCACACCACGAAGTGGTGGTGAACCCATATTGCTTTTTCTGATGTTTCTTCTCCTTCTCCTCCTTCTCCTCCTCCTTCTCCTGCCACTTCTTTAAATTGATGAAACTTTATTGCATGTTCATTCCCCGGAGGGATAAATGCATGGATGTACAATGTACTAGAGAGTACTAAAACAATAGTAATATAAAAGGCTAACATTAGGTCTAAGGTATACAATGCTAAAAATAAGATAAAAAGAAATATAAATATAAGTGGTATTGATCTAAGTTCTAATGGCTTCTTCTCTCTTTTTGAAACATTTTGAAATATACTTACATACTTGATTCAACTCCTTCATTTTTGGGCGAAATTACCTGTAATTTCGTATAGAGGTAGAGTGGGTAAATACCCTTAGGCGTTTTTTAAATTTTTTTGATACAAGCTTTTACAATCGTTTTATTTGCTTTTTAGTGGTCCCCATAGGAAAGTACTGTGGGGGCGTACGCGCGTGACGTAATAAGAAAGGAATTCGGGGGAAGGCCCAAATATGGGGCATACAAGCAGGTGTGGTCATGTTTGCAGATGTGGCTGTTGATTGGCTGTTGGCTAATTAATTTATTTACTACCATTTTCACGTACCAGCGCAGCTGGTCCACGCGGTCTCGGTCTCGGCCGTGGGCCATGATACTCTGATACTGGATACCGATTCGTGTGATTCCTATAAACATTTCACCTAACTACGAACTAGTTGGAAGAATTATAGCTGCATGGATGCCTGTATATGATTTTAACAAACACTGAAAATCTGACGCAAAAACTGGCAGATATTTTGCTCTTCTCTGTTGGAACAACGCAAGCGGGAGGTCAATGACCTGCGCCCCACGAGTACTGTAAACAACGATACGCGCGCGCCACGGTATCAACAATTTTCCACAATCTTCACCGACTAGTATTATATATTCTAGTTATCGATTTCTGAAGAATCACCAAAATTGTAGAGTGTATCTCCTAGAAAGTCCCTTACTAGTACTTGAAGCAATCGTTACCGCCATGTTGTTCACTTTATATGACATACAATGCTAGGGAGTAATGGAAACGTGTCCAGATAGCTCGGTTGGTAACGCGCAGGGCTGCAAGTCCAGACATTACGAGTTCGAACCCCGGTACACTGGATATTTTTAATTATCCTTTTTACAATTTTTAACAATTTTAACATTTTTAACAATTTCAACAATTTTAACCATTTTAACCATTTTACATTTTAACAATTTCAACATTTAATTTTAACATTTTCGTTTTAATATCCATTGCTTTGCTTTTAACATTCCAAAACTGATTGTTCTTACTCAAGAATTTCAATAACTTCGAATGTTAGTCTTTTGTATTTTTTCAACATACAAACCAAAATCACTTTGATGTTGTCACAAAAGTAACATCTGTGCGCGCATCGGTTTTCGTTCATTTAAAAACTACAAGTACAAAACATCTGGAAACTAAGCAAACATACTCAGTAAATTGATTGCTGTAATTCCCGATTTTTTCACTGTACCGCAACGCAAGCGGGTGGTCAATGTTCACGGTTTTCACTGTCACCTCTGTATTATGAACTTATCATTACAGTTAGGAAATAATTCCTGGACTTTCTTTTTCCTGCAACTGTCACCACCGTGAATATATACTTCCGTGAACATGTCCATTTTTCTCAGGCCGTGAAAATTTTGCTTCCGTTAGTAGTAGTTACAATCTCGTCAAAAGTGTAAAGTAAAGCTGTCGAGATTTAAAGTGTCGTTGTATCTTTGTAAAAAAAAGGGAGATAATTGCCAAGTGCCAGTTTTGTAAATACCTGTCGAGATTCAAACAGCTTGTCCTTGTATAATTGCAGTATGATTTATTTAGAATCTCTCATTTTTGTTTGGGGAAGGGTATGGAGTGAAATTCCTACATTTGCTCCGAAGCAAATGTTGGCCTTTCTAGTGTTTCTCATTCTTTCCCTGCCATGTCGTAAAATGTGGTGAACCCATCGCTATATTTGCTCCAAAGCAAATATTGGCCTTTCTAGTTTGAGCTAGCCTTCTCAGGTGGCTCAGGCCAACCTTCTTAGGTCATTCAACTGACCCCAATTCCCCCTATGGGTCAACCTCTGAGGGGCAACATTTTGTTTTGTTAGAGCCGGGCCCCTGTTGGTGAAGGAATGATGGAAAAAATAACTGATTTGAGGACACAGACTATAAGCAGACTACTAGTACTTTATATCTATATATGGCAAGTTTAATTCATGCAACTTTATCATTGTATCATTTTATCAGACTTTGATAGAAGAATCTACATGTCCAATATCCTACAAAGGTGCATGGAGGCATATCAAGCCTTCAAATGCAAGGCCCAGTGGCCTCTGGTGGCCTCTCTTTGACTAAGTCCACCAATGGAGATGCCAGACACCAATGCAACACAATCTCTCCTGAGATGCCAAATGCTTCAATCCCCAAGACTGAGAGCAGTGTTCTACACCTCTATGGTTGGGCAGAGACATCTTATATCTCATATGACATAGTTGACAAGATCAGTGAAAAGAGATTACTAGTATTATATTCTAAGGGCACCCAGGATATTTCTAGAGCAGTACTTAACAGAGCTATCTGCATGTTTGATGATGACTGTTCTGCAGTTATGTTTTTATATCCAAACTACATTGACTACTAGTATCAAGTTGCAGGTGGGTCTGCCTAAATACCTAACGATGAGTCAACTGCTATAAAACACGTCTTCTCTTTCTGTATGACCTATAAATGTAATTCTGTCAACTTGGGGGTTGTCACAGCTCCACAGCTGGGTTTGGTAGGGTAGCCTGACTCCCTGTGCTGGGAGAAGCTCCAATGAGGGTTAGTGTTACACAGGGACAGGACACCTGTCATCAAGGTACTTAGCAGGCACATACATACATGTACCATGCATGTACATGTGTGCCAGATTTGATAGGAGCCAGGTGTGACTAATGAAGATTTTCTAGGAGTGTGGGCCAGCCCTAAGGATTTGTTTGTTTTAACAATCATGTGGGTGGGACCATAACTAATCAATGCTCAAGCCAGTAGCAATCTAAGCACCCACAAGGGCAGAATCCACTACACAAGCATCAGCCCAGAGTGTAGTTTCAAGTAAACTTTTAGGTACACTCTGGATGCACAATGTATCACATCTAAACAATTCCTTTTCTTTACTGCTACAGAATATTTATGATACCTGATGATGAGCTTTGCTCCTAAGAGGACTGGTTGCCTTTGAGATGAATCCGTGTTGCATGTACTAGAATCTAAGGCCCAGTTCACACGTGCGTCGTTTTTATGTGTTGGGCGTCATTTGACGCGTGCACGACCTGTACGACACATTTTTCAAGCGTGTAAACAGGCCCCCCACCGCCGCGCAGCGCCTTGCGTCGTTTTATCTGTGGCACCTTCAGGAGGTGCCACAAGTGCATCACGACACACAGCGGGGAGTCTGCGGCACGGAAAACATCATGTAATTATAAACAGACCTGCGTTGCGCGCAGCCCATTAACAGCGTCAAAGTAGGTCATGGGTCATATGCAAATTTTTGTATCAATTTCTACTTGTTGTTAATTGTTTCCTCGAATTATTTTGTACGGATTGTTAGCTAGCACTCAACATTACTGATTGTTTGCTGAGCATGGCGGAAGTCAACAGCTCTAACTGAAGCAGCGCTGAAACACGCTGTTTGATCTGGATGTGTAACTGCAACAGAATCTTCTGTAATTGTGGCTACACTGCGGCTGCCCGTTGGATATCGTGGTTCCGATCCCTATGATATGAGAGACCCCAAGCCGTCTTCTGCGCCATGCCCGGCACTGCAAGTATGCGCGAGAGAAGAAGAAAATCATCATTTGTCCCATGAAAAACAACAACAGCACTGTTCCCACCTGTCAAAGGTCACGGCAAGTCAGGGTTCACCACATGTGACGCAGCGCGACGCAGACCGCCACAGCTGCGGCACAAATTTTGCATTTGGATGGAGAATTCTGCATATGGGATGCAGAATTCTGCATTCAGGTGCAGAATTCTGCAACCCAAATGCAGAATTCTGCACCTCGAATGCAGAATTCTGCAGAACTGACCTAGTCCCAGGGGACCTATCGATGATACCTACGTAACTTTCAGCGAGTAATATAACATATTCTAGAATATTAAGTCTCCTTGTCAAACTATGTCTTAATGGTGAAAGGTAGTCCGGAATTAGAGTGTCAGTCCGGAATTAAAGTGTCGCCTGTTAAATACAAATAAACAAAGGCTCAAACAAACAAGCTGTAGTGAAATATCTACGATAAAACAACTAATTTCTTCCGAAGAGCAAATGTAATTTTACAAAGATTACAAAACACAGTGTATATTTGACAAAAACTGCTCTTGGGCTTTACTTGACACATAAATGTATAATTATGTATGAGTACAACTTTGTATCTTCCAAGTCCTAATGGCACAACATTAAACAACAGCTTGCTAACTAACTGTAGTCTGGTTACCGTAGTTCTTGTAATGCCTTTGTCATCACTTAAAAGAATTAAGAGTAAAAAAATTCTTACTGCAAAACTCTTACATTAAAAAGTACACAATAAAACTAGAGATTCAGATTCAGAAGTAACATTTGCAAAGCAAATGCATAATGTTTACCTTCGGACATGGTCTGCCCTGTTAATTTTTACTCAAAACACATTCACATATTACATGTGCTACGAGTATATGGTGACAGGAGCAGAGCAGACCATGAAATTGCAACATTATGTAACCCAACACCAGTCACCATGGTGACAGACGTCAACAAATCATGTCATTGGTCAGGTCAGAGGTTAGTGTTTGGAGAAGAAGAATAGGAAACAGAGCAAAAAGAATTTGTTTTCCTTCGGTAAACATAAAAATTCTTACTGCAATGCTTTCTTACCACAATTTATCTCATGTAGCCCGTTTTCCCATCATTTTAAGTTTAGTCCACCGACAGACTTGCTTCTAACATGTTCTCTACACCACCATGGAAATAGACCTCACACAACATGGTCGGTAACCAGGTTCATTCTTTGCTTGTTGTATTCCAGAACCATGACAATCTACAAATTTAATGTAGTTGTGTGACTAAATGGGTTAGGGCACGGTTCTGGACAGTCTCCAGATATCCAGGAATGCAGATTTGCCCTAGGCACGTTTCTGGATAGGCGTGGACTATCCAGATAAAGCATGGTTTTGAATATAACATTGCTTCTTTGTCTTCACACCAAAAATAACTAAAACCAATTATAAATAAGATTTTAAAAAGGACTAACTTTTAGTAATATACATTTGTGTTTATCGTTCTTCTACAATCCATTCAGGTCTCTTTCCTTCTTGTTCTATTCGTAGTTTATCTATATATGATAAATATTCTTCATATGACATATTTCTACCTGATAGAACATAATGGTTTAAAGCTTTGGCACTGAACCCTGCATTGTCATACATTTGTTGCCAAAAGTTCAGTTTTCCCTGGTTTTTAAAACCAGGTAGTAATTTGGGCCTTGGGCAGCCATAGTGTTCTTTGGTAGCCACATGCCTGACAACGAAATTTCTTCTCCTTTTTGTCATGTCTCTGTGAATTCTGTTACAAACAAAACATTCAAACCCGTCAATGAAGTTCATCTGTGTGAAGTCATTTACACCCCATTCTCTCGCCTTCATGTGCTTGATAAGTTTCTCATTTGTGACGTTGACGAATTTGTGATCCAAGTATTTTTCATACTCCACGTCATCATTGTTGAGTTTGGTTAAAAACTCTGCAAGCTCTTTTGGACCTGAGAAGTCGCTCACGTGTATTGCAGACCTGTTAGTCGGCAGCCACTCTTTAATGCTGGGGGATCCAAAATAGACAGGCACTGAGCCCAGATGCAGAGGACGCCACAGTTTCTCAGTGATGTAATCCTCGCAAACGGCATTCTCAAAGGCAAGCGTGAACTTGTACTGAGCCATGATTTTGTAGTAATCTGAATCGAACAGTGTTAGCGGGTCCTGCAGTCTCTTGGGTAAGTCTTTGTTATGCAGACAGTGTCCGTAAGCGTCTACATCTATGTACTGCATGAGCTCCTTAACATAACTGTCTCTGTCTGAGGGTGGGTCACAGTCAGCGTGCACGTAAACCACAGGAGACAAAGGGAGAGAATTTTTTGTCTTCGTCGGTACGAAATATGTCTTGTCCGCGAAGTCTTGGAGTTTCTCGAGGTACTGTGTGGTGAGAGGATAGTCGGAGTGTCTGCGGAAGGTTGCGGTGTGGTTGAACAGGTTCAGGACTGGCTCGTGACTGAGAAGGAAGTTGTTTTTTGGCGACTCCTCGTGGAGCAGTGCCCACTCGTGGTGTGTCTTCCTGGGCAGAGGGAGGTCCTTAGGGCTGAAGTCTGTTCCATAGAACACAAAAACCTGCAGGAAAATATACAAACCAAACATCAGAAATGAATCTAGTAACAAGATTAGTAAGCTTGTGTGACTGTGTGTTGTATGATAAGATTATTTTATAAGAAGATTTAAAGATTTGGGCCTTGCTTTTTTGTACCAAGTTCAGTCAGAAAATGTTAAATGTCTGAGGGAGCCACATGTACACCCCCTGCACATTATAGAACTGGGGAAAAAGTAGGGGCATGTCCCAGTGTGTGATCATGTCCCAAATACTACAAACCACAGAGTAGAAGTTGGTGCAACGATTGGATGGCGATGGCTACAAATCAGCCGGATACTGGCCTGGTGAATGAGTCTCGTATCAGCCACACAGTGATTTACATCACACAGACCTAAATACACGTACACCAGCCGCAGTGAAGCCACATTGCACAAGTATAGCCAGCAAAAAGCATCATGATTCACCTCTGTTGAAGATGACTAAACAACAACAAGTTTCCGAAATTTCTTGAAGGTACATCATGTACCTGAGTGTGTTAAGTTAGTCCTTGAACTTCTACAATATAGTTGAAGGCTGTTAATGCCACGATACATAGAATCCTAGTACAGTTGTAGCTATACTGTGTAAGAAAAGAATTAAGAGTACACACAGATAGAAACCCCGGGTCGGGGTTTGAACCCATGACCTCCCGAGCACCAGCTTCAAAATCTGACGCTCAAACCACTCGGCTAAAAGGTCTAGACCCATCGGCCAGGTCAGTTGGTTCAGCGCCTACAAACCCACCACCTACTCCCCCTTTTCTTTTCAAGATTTGTCCTTGAATCTTCCAAATTCGACATCCCTGGAGCAGCTGCAGCACCCATTGCCAGAACTCACAGGGCCGGTGTGGGAACCACTGACAGAATTAGGAAAGTACACACGGATAAAAACCCCTGGTCCCAGGTTGGGGTTCGAACCCACGACCTTCCGAGCACCAGCGTCAAAATCCGACGCTCAAACCACCCGGCGAAGAGGTATTCCGCCGGGTCAGTTGGTAGCGCCTACAAACCCCCCCTTCTGTTACAAAAAAGAAACAGATAGAAACCCCTGGTCCCGGGTTGGGGTTCGAGCCCACGACCTCCCGAGCACCTGCTTCAGACTCTGACGCTCTAACCACTTGGCCGAAAAGGTCTAGACCCATTGGCCGGGTCAGTTGGTAGCGCCTATAACCCCCCCCCCACTGTTACAATAGTACCCACCTGTGTTTTAGGGTGATCCTTGAAGTGCCTGTCCACAGTAAAGAAACACTTTCCCAGCTTGCACTGCTTCACTTTACCTCGCTCCCCGGTGAACGGTGTCCACCAGAGGATGATGGGAACTTTGATGTCCATCTCTGACACGGCGATGTTGTCTCTGTCATGTTCATCCAGCTCATCTGAAACAAAAATGTTCCCGTGGCTTTCTTTCCTTCCAAAAATGAATAATAAAAACTAGAAAGGTAACATTTTTTTTTTGCAATTTAGCAAATGCATAATGTTTACCTTCGCATATGGTTTGCTTTTCTTACTCAAATACATGTACCTTCGTATATATGGTCAGACAGGAGTCTACATCCCCCCTATAAAATTGCAATATTATGTAACCCAACACCAGTTACCATGGTGACAGACGTCAACAAGTCAGGTCATTGGCCAGGTCAGAGGTTAGTGTTTGGAACAGAAGAAGAAACATTACTAAAAACAATATGTTTTCCTTCGGTAAACATTAAAACATGTACTAGTTAGGGGTTTATATATCAATTCAAGGCTAGTCTAGTTTTATATTTCCCCCCCAAAAGTAAAGACACTCTATGCTACGTCATAGGCCTTAGGAGATGACATCAATTTAACAATTTAAGTAGCAAACAGTCTTAAAATGAACATCATAGAACTTGATCTGTTGGAAAGTCATATCTTACAAACTGATATCATGATATTTTTTACATAAACATGTAGGTGTAACATTAATTTTTTGTTATTGTTCTGTTACTTTCGTTCCTAGTGGCACTGTGGGGGGTTTATAGGCGCTACCAACAGATCCGGCAAACGGGTCTAGACCTTTTAGCGGAGAGGTTAGAGTGTCTGACTGGGGCCTGGGAGGTTGTGGGTTCGAACCCCGGCCCGGGACCAGTGGGGTTTTACTGGCTCTTGTTTCTTATGGTTTCTTCCACACCGGTCCTGGGAGTTCTGGCAAAGAGTGCCGCTCCAGGGATGTCGAATTCGGAAGATTCAAGGACGTATCTTGAAAAGAAAAGGGGGAGTAGTGTAACAGTGGGGGGGCTTTATAGGCGCTACCAACAGATCCGGCAAACGGGTCTAGACCTTTTAGCGGAGATGTTAGACTGTCTGCCTGTGGACTGGTGCCCGGGTTTGGTCGTGGGTTCGAACCCCGGCCGGGACCAGTGGGGTTTTTACTGTCTCCTCCTGTTTCTTACAGCACATAGGACTGCAAGTTATCCCAGCAAAAGTACATTACAATCTACCCGGTAATGTCATGTACTTTCATGGCATTGTCAGCACTTTTGATATTGTACAGGAAGGCCACACCGACTTAATTTTATGGATGACATCTGCGCGCATTAATTTTCGCCTGTCCTAAAAAAAAAAGATTAAATTGAAAGAATCACGTCCACCGAGCTCTGGCCTGGCTCTAAACTTGGGTAGTCTACGGTAGTTAGCGACAAATTACGGAGCTACTGAAGCTCCACGACTCAAAAACTCAGTGCTGAATTTAAAATAATTATTATAAATTCCGCTAAAAGCCTGCAAGTAAGTACTGTCGAAAATTCACAATACTAGAATTGTATTACTGTGGTTTAGTACCATTTTTGTGTTGCCCTGATTTTTTTTATTCGCCCGCGCGCACTAGTTTGGGGGTCGTCAGGGATGTCATCCATAAAATTAAGGAGGTGTGGCCTTACAATTGTTAACGTTACATTGTATGATACTAACCTTCACCGACAAGAAGTCTTCCTCCGTAGTCCACACTTTTTTCGAACCAGAGACCGCCCTCTAAGAGATCCCACTTCTCCTCTTCATTCTGTATTCTTGCGAGGATCTGTCGAGAGGAATAGTTTTAAAATCGCCATCCATCCAAACGTTGTCTAAACCTTTATTTCCGGATATTCAGCTTTGATTTGAGTCACAATATTTACCAAAATATGACGGTGGAAATGTGTATAAAAGCAAGCCAGTGAATCATTTTACGGACCAGTAACGAGGTCAGAGTGTCTACTGCAATCATACAAATGATATGCAATGTATTTAAACTCACCTGAAAACAAATAATGAAGAAGAAAACAACAATCATGAAGAACACAACCCGGAAGTATCGCTTCAAAGCCGCCATCTTGAGATGAATAACGCACGCCACCATGCGGTTCGATTGTGAAGTGCACCCGTAGTGAAATCTTGAAGCATTTTGCAAGCTCAGTGTCCAGAATATTACAAGTAGTTGTAGGTCTCCCCTCTTCTAAACCACTTCCCTGATAATTTCTCCCTTTTAACTTAATGGCATGGAAGACTCTTATTGGTTACAAAATTTTCATTTCTGTTCAACGAACATTCTGTAACATATGTTAGAGTCAATTCCGCGTCACCGAGTGGGTTGTTATTGTCATTATTTAGAAATGTTTTGAATTCTTTGTAATTGTTTGTCTAAGAAATTTCATAATTTGGAAATATTTTGAACATCTTGTCAATATTCTAAATAATTCCCTGGTTTTCTAAAACGTTTGAAATATTCCTGATGTGGATTATGACATTTCCAATAGTTTCTAAATATTTCTAACAGCACTCTACCATTTTTTACCATTATTTTGAATTATTTCTAACATTTTGTAAATAGGTCAGTGGGATGGGAAGGAAGTAATTCACACATCCCTGTGAAGTACAGGGCAGACTGCCTGGGTGTCAGGCATTGATGCCTTACAACAAAAGAGCCACCAGTGTCCAGCAGTGAAATCTAAAAATATACAGAGGAAGACAGAAGAGTAGGATTAGCACCTACTTTTATGGGGGCAATTACCCACATCTACCATTTGGTTATTTGTTTGAAATAGTTCTAAATATTTCGAATTGTGAAAGAAACACATGGGTAGTTCAAATTTATTCTAAAGAAAGAGATCTTTGTACAGTCACATTCAAAATGTTTCAGAAATATATAAATGAATTCAAATATATTCAAATTTTCATTTTCAAATTTTTGAAAAATTTAGAACTTTTGTTACTGGGGTATTCTTTTCTTCTAAATAATTCAAACGTATTAGAAACATGGAGAAAAAACCCACTCGGTGACGCGGAATGGACTCTACATATTTGAAAGTCCATTCATCATTTTTTTCTCGAAGGGTTTATGATATTTAGGTTGTAGTTTTGCTTAATTGTTTTCCCATTTCAATTTTTATCCTCAGATCAGAAGATTATTTTCTAGTGGTCAAAAAACAAGTTCACCAAAGCTTAAAGGTACTGCTTCGCACTTGTCTTCTTTCAATTTGCACCACTTAACCAATGGAATGACAACGCTACGTCCCTTTACTACTTATACGTAGTCCACATCAAAGATTTAATAGTTTGCTGCTTGTACAGTCATCCCATTGCAAGATATCGATAAACCGGTAATACACAGCACAGCTTGTCCATAATCAGTAACAATTGTACATTAACATGCTTTCTGATCATCGTCAAAATTATATAAACATTTACAATATAAACCGCTGCACTATTCATTCGACAAATCACAGATTCGTTTCTGCACGGGCTATTCAAAATAAAGCGCTTGATGTGCATGTATACATAGTGCATTTCCCGCATTTACAAGTAGAACAGGACGATATAAAATTACGCTGGTCCAGCGACCACAAGTTAATTGGAATGTTAATTGGAACTAGTTAATTTAAAAAAAAATTGATTGCGCTACGAACTACCTGCAACGTTTTCTCGAGTGATATATTAAAAGGCCACAGCAAGTAAATTTTATGGATGACATCTTCCGCAGACTCCAAATCTAATGCAATAGGGCGAAAAAAAACAAGGCTGGCCGAAAAGAGGAAGGTTCCAACATTTTCAAATTTTGACTCAATCATTGTACAAATGGTTTTGATTCAGTGGGAACATCACATATACACGCACGGCCAGCATCACATATCACTGCATCAAAGTAAAAAAAAAATCAATAAATCAGAGCCTTTTCTTGTCATACTTAACTGCCATCCACCTTCCGGGATGGCAACAGACATCTTTGCCCATTTTTGGCATGTTGAATACTGTCAGAAGGCAACAAAATTTCTTGTGTTTTTTTTTTTTTTAATCAGGCGAAAATTAATGCGCGCTGATGTCATCCATAACAATTACTTGCTGTGGCCTAAGTTAGGAAGTAGAGCAGTACTGCAGCAATAGCAATATACGAGCTATCGTATCCAAAACCGTGCCTATCTATCCCTGTATCCAAAACCGTGCCTGTCTATGCCTGTTTCCAAAACCGTGCCTATCAATGCCTGAATTAGTTTGGGAAATGATGAAGCAGTACGGTTCTGGATAGTCCGCGTATCCAAGAACGTAGATTTGTCGGAGGCACGGTTCAGGAAATTGCGTGCGGGCTATCCAGGACCGTGCATTTACTAAGGCCCACGACGACACTTCCACACACCTCTTCAACAGCTTGGCAGCGCGCTGTGGAAGTTCCGCGGAAGAGCGCTGTGGAAGGTATATCCTTGGCAGCGCGCTGTGGAAGGTCTGCGGAAGAGCGATACATATATCCCTTGGCAGCGCGCTGTGGAAGGGCTGTGGAAGAAGTGAAGCGTCGTTGTGGGCCTTCGTATGCATTAACATGGTTCTTGATAAAGCACGGTTCTGGATACAACACGAACCAACATGACGCCACATATTCCATCACACGTGCAGCATTGTAAAGTTTCTTTCACAAGATTACAGCGTTTTGTCGCGTAACATGCCAACATCCAACAGTTTTACCAGCCATAGATCTATGTGCTAAAACGACAGTGAACATCTCTGGGTTCCTAAACACAGGGCAAAGTGACATCTTTCATACATTCACACCTAAACCCTACACAACAATGCAACAACGTGATATGTCATCAAATACATCCTACTCTACAGAGATTTACAGTGGTTTTAACTAATGAGGTATGAGATCGCGATGTTCTGGTGACAAGTATTAGTCCAGCGGCATAGCTGGCAAAATCAGCTGAATTGTGCACTTTTCTTTAAAAGCACCAAATTTGGCACACATGTAGTTGAACATATACTGCACAAATTTGGCTATGGGGGCATTTCCAATTTTTAGGTAAAAATTTCTAAAAAAAGGGATTTAAAGGCCCATGATTTTTCCAAGAAGAGCGATATTGAAACAAAATTAACAGGTTTGTGTACCTTGTAGTAGGTTATGGTGGCATATAAATTTTCAGGGAGAAATATTGATGTTTGATTTTTTTCCCTCCCCCTTAATTAGGGCACTAGAACGCTTCGCCTATTTTGGGGGTTCTAAATTCAAGATGACGTCACGGCGCTTCTGGGCAGAAATGAAAATGCCTCCATATTCACATCTGCTTAGAATATGTTCAACTACATGTGTACCAAATTTGGTGCTTTTAGAGAAAAGTGCACATGTACAATTTTTCAGCTATGCCGCTGGACTATATGCAACAGCTGCAATAAACATATTAATCTCTTCCAGACTGGGCTGGAAAATGGTCAAATTTAGCCAAATGGAGGTAATTTACCAGGGGAGTTTGGCCACCATGAATCTATCTGCTTGAGCAGGATAAATTTTAAGCCCCTGTCACACATAGCAGAATATGGCATCCCGAACAATAGCTGAACTCCCCAACCATGGTTAGGAGTAGCTAGGCCGGGAGCAAGGTCGGCTGTGGTTGGCTGGTGTTCGGCCAGGTCGGCTACTATTCGGCTGCACCAGCCAGCGGACTGTTTCAAAATGTTTCAAACATTTGGATGTCGATGGGAGGTTCGGGATGATTGGGAGTAGGTCGGGGCATAGTTTGCATTCAAATTTGACTCAAATTCAACTCAAATTTGATTCACATCGAAAGGTGGAGCTGGTCTAAATCTGGTCAGACTGTTCCCGAACTTCAGCCAGCCTTGGTCGGCTGGTGTTCTGAGTATGTGACGGGCTTTTGTCATACCGCGGCCCGCTCCCCAGGCCAACTATTAACCCTTAGTTTTGCCGAATTCTACTATCCAAAGCACATTGACAAGTCCTGGTAGAGGCTACAACAAACAATCATCGCTCGTACCTATTTTCTCGCAGTCAGTACATATGACTGTCATCATACCCGTTAATCTAGTACAGTTGCATTAATAATACTCATTTCCATATAATACATTTATACGTCTATGATAATCTATCAAATAACTTTTAGTCAGATGCATATCAGAATCTGTAATGTTTCATTTGATGTTTTAAAAGTAACTAAACAAGAAAACAAAGATTCATGATATTCGTGTCATTTGTGACAGACGAATATTTTGGTCACTGATGTAGCTATTTGAGAATTAGCAAAGTAACAGTAAAAGGCAAATTTGTGGGATTAGTGGGGCAGATAACATCAAATTTTGGAGGAATCTTTCAAATTGTGATACAAGCACCAAACTTGCTACAAATACTCATGAGACATTACTCTTTTGAAAAATACGCGGGCCACTTGATTTGACTTTTGGTGCCCCCTAGCGGCGCTTTTTGGTACTGCAGCTGACCTTCCGGGCTTTGTATCTCCTGTTTTAAACATACTACAGTCATGATTTTTATGTGGTAAAAAGCTGTTAAAGTAAGGTAGAAGTGACGTAAATTTGGTGTCTCTAGCTGCTTGCGTTGGACCTGCAGAGGGGTTTTTTGCCGGTGCACAATTTGCTTCAAGGGCGCTTTTTTTGCTTCGGAAGGTCGGCTGCAGTACCAAAAAGCGCCGTTGGAGCAAATTTTTGCACCGGCAAAAAACGCCCCTACAGTTTTAACGCAAGCAGCTAGAGGCACCAAATTTACGTCACTTCTTTCTTACTTTAACAGCTTTTTACCACATAAAAATCATGACTGTAGTATGTTTAGAACAGGAGATACAAAGCCCGGAAGGTCAGCTGCAGTACCAAAAAGCGCCGCTTGAAGTCAAATCAAGTGGCCCGCGTGTTTTTTCAAAAGAGTAATGTCTCATGAGTATTTGTACCAAGTTTGGTGCTTGTATCACAATTTGAAAGATTATTTCAGTTATCTGCCCCACTAGATTAACAGAGTTTGGGAAAAAGCTACATCTCTTTGAAGAAATGGGTTTCTCCTTGATAATAAATAAAGAGGACGGAGTATTAGTAATAGGAAACGTAAAGACTTAATATTACAGAACAGGAGTAAAGGATAAACGTTACCCACTTGGGGAACAGAGAGAAACAACGTCAATGATTTAATTAATGAAAAACTTAAACTGTTCTCCAACTCAAAATTTGACTCACCAGAAATTTTCGACTGAATCACTGAGTCTTCCTCAGCGATCTGACTCAAACGCTGTGGACACGTGATTTTTCCCACGTGTGACGTCAGAAAAGGGTCAAATTTTGAGTTGGAGAACAGTTTAAGTTTTTCATAATGTAATTTACCAACTCAGATGAACTTTCATGCTGACAATGATTCTAATCTCTTTCTTCTTATGTTTGCATGCTATCTCATAAATCCATTCTGCTTCACATAGTTCAATATCATGACCATGTACATTTCTATATCTACAACAGGTGACGTTATATCATATCCACAACCATGCCTATCTAGTTCTATGTCTGAATGAATTACGGCCATTTAGGATCAGGCACAAGTCTGGATAGTCTCCGCGTATCCAAGAATCTGGATATGCTCGAACCATCCAGATCCGCGTGCCTGAGGATGGTTCTAGATAAGCATAGTTCTGAATAAAACAAGTTATCTACGTACTGTCCTACAGACAATGTGTCGCACCCAATAACAGCAGCTGAAAGATGTATTTCATACATTTCATTCGAATGATCTTGAATGCTGCAAAACGTACGTAACTTTTTTTTAATCACACTTTGTACCAAACCTCGAAATGGTTCCAGCCAATAGAGGCCAGTTTTGGACAGGTCTGGAACTTTAACGTGTCCAGTGCAGCCGTGATGACGTCAGTCTGGGCCATCATGTCTACTCGGGTGATCTCATCGAACCACTCTTCAAATGCGATCTGGTAGACATGGCAGAAAGGCGTGGTGTTACTTCATATCAGCAATATGTACAACAATGTTACAACAGAAGACATTAACATCTAGCGTCAGTGCACAGTAAACCAGTCAGAATTGCCCTGATGAAGATGACAGACGGTCATCGAAACGTCGGCTCGTGAAAAATAAATGCTTGTGACCAAAGAACTTTGCTATTCAGACATTAACATTGTTTTCATCTAGAGTTTACGGCCAGTCACTCTGGTCTTCCTCAGTAGACTGACCCAGTGAGACCTTTCACGTGGCTACTCTAAAGTGTGACGTCAACACTGGGTCAAAGGTATCTGGTAAACGATGTCTGTTCCCGTCGTGACATCCTCTTTCACCCCTCTCAGGAAGTAGTCTTGTTCGGTGTCTATCAATGACCAGATACATTTGACCCAGTGTTGTCGTCACACTTTAGAGAAGACACTGGGTCAGTCTATTGAAGAAGACTAGAGTGACTGGTCTAAAGCTGTAGGTGTTGGAACAAAAGTTTGAACTGTAAACATGTAACTACCAACACGGATGAACCTTTATGATAATATGCACATATCATTTTACATATACATATACATACGGGTAAGCATTAGACTGGATGACACCCTTCCTACAATACCAGGGCCCCCAATACTCGCTCCGGATCCTTTACAGATAGTGGGGCAGATAACATCAAATTTTGGAGGAATCTTTCACTTTGTGATACAAGCACCAAACTAGGTACAAATACTTATGAGACATTACTCTTTTGAAAAAATACGCGGGCCACTTGATTTGACTTTTGGTGCCCCCTAGTGGCGCTTTTTGGTACTGCAGCTGACCTTCCGGGCTTTGTATCTCCTGTTCTAAACATACTACAGTCATCATTTTTATGTGGTAAAAAGCTGTTAAAGTAAGGAAGAAGTGACGTAAATTTGGTGTCTCTAGCTGCTTGCGTTGGACCTGCAGAGGAGTTTTTTGCCGGTGCACAATTTGCTTCAAGGGCGCTTTTTTTGCTTCGGAAGGTCGGCTGCAGTACCAAAAAGCGTCCTTGGAGCAAATTTTTGCACCGGCAAAAAAACGCCCCTACAGTTTTAACGCAAGCAGCTAGAGACACCAAATTTTCGTCACTTCTTCCTTACTTTAACAGCTTTTTACCACATAAAAATCATGACTGTAGTATGTTTACAACAGGAAATACAAAGCCCGGAAGGTCAGCTGCAGTACCAAAAAGCGCCGCTAGGGGGCACCAAAAGTCAAATCAAGTGGCCCGCGTACTTTTTCAGAAGAGTAATGTCTCATGGGTATTTGTACCAAGTTTGGTGCTTGTATCACAAAGTGAATGATTATTTCAGTTATCTGCCCCACTAAGATATCTAGAAGGGAACGAGTATGGGAGCCCTGGTAACCTAGATAGGATGGCATCCAGGCTAATACAAACCAGCATATGCCATGCATGCTTACAAACAATCATACAAACATTTTGTACGAACATAGATTGCATGTAGTTTAGAAGCATGTTGTATTTCTGTGTTTGAAGCTAGATGTGATGTTTTGTTTGAATGCACGTATCTGCACGGAAACACTGCTTGTCCATGATGCCATAAACCTTAGAGCTGTTTTTTTGTAGTTGTTACCTCCTTTTTTTAAATTTCATTCAAAATTAATGAACGTCTCACCTGTAGCATCTTAGCTCCCTTGGTGCTTGTTGGGACGTACTGGTCACTTGCAATGAGAGTCATACGCTTGACGCCGGGTTTGTGAGAAGGCGACTGACAGGAGTGGGGGAACCTGGACAGCAGCCCGACCGCTCGGATCGGACCCTTCTGTAACAGTTTGCCTGCGTTAGCATAGACCTGGGAGGCTGCCACTTCACTGAACAGCACCACGAATTCCATGGACTTGGACCGGTTCAAGGCGGATATGACGTCACAGAGGTCCTGATCCGGGAACTTTGAGACGTCCAGAATGAGGTACCTGATGGCAGTCGTCCGCAGGATCGTCGGGACAACGAGGGAGGCTGATCCGTAGCTCAACAGGAGTTTGTTAACCGTGCCCCTTTGTTTGAAGATCGTTTCTAGCGAAGAAGACAGAAGGCTGGAGCAAAGCGGGTCTTTCTCTGATTCGCTGATGTTAAGACTCAAGGCAGCGAGATTCTTGTGTCTGCCGACATCGACTGAAATTAGATGCAGGAAAAGAGCGGCAGAAGTGTTCCCGGTGAGAGAGAGGGACGACAGGAAGGCGCCCAGCTTCAGAGTACGAAGGTCGTCTTCGGAGAAACTCGGTGGGCGGTCGTGCTTCTGACGAGAGGAGCCGAACATGCTAAGCCGGACTTTCCTGAGGCTGTCACTGGACAGGATCCTGGACACGGCCATGTTGATCTCATGGACGGGCATGGACTTGCACCGGAGAGGGATGTCCAGGTCAATGCTGGACACGGAATGGTTTGTGTGTAGAACAGACGACATTGTTTGCAGATCGCAGGCCACGGGGAAGAGTGGCAGACTGATGTGCTGTAACGTTTTTACAGACGGCAATGGTGCGGAGCAACTGTCTGAAGCCGGGCACGTCACTAGCGGCGGTCCACCTGTCCACCACGATCGACGTGACGAACGGGTCGCTGTGTTTTTGGTCCGAGTGTAACATCGTTGATATTGTTGCCAGGTAGTTGGTTGGAATGTTGTAGAATCGATTCTTCAGTTTGGTGGTCACGTCGAAGGACCCGTCGTCGACAAAGGAGGGGAGAACAATCTCCACCAGCTCTCCATGAGGGGCACATTCGTGCAGACAGGACAGGCACAAGTTGTTCGCCAGCTCGCTTTTCTCTCTCACCTCTTTCCACGTCTCGAAGAAGTAATGGGCACGATCTTTCAAGAGTCCTGCTAGATATATGCACACCATGTACATGTCGGGGTTTGGAATGACCTTTGCGAATTGTTCGACGGTGAAGCCTTGTTCGGACTCGGCAAGGTAGTACGCGGTGAGGTACTCCTGGATCGTCTTGTGCAGGAAGCGCCACGGACGCTGGGACAGACGCCGTGCCCACGTGTCTTGAGCGAGCAGCCCGACGTGAATGAGGTTAGGGATGTCCTCCAGCTCTGGTTCCTGAAACACCATCCGGTTTTCTTCCAGCCCCCTGAAGGCGACCTGGCCTAGCGTGACGAGGACATTACGAACATCGGCGAGGACAAGCTCGGCTTCCGAACACGGCTGCCCGATACGTTCGAAGTAGCGGCGCACGAGACATTCTATGAGTGTTGAGTACAGCTGTGTAAGTGTGGCCGGGAGGGCTCCCTGATTGTCCTCCCAGAGGGCGCAGAGAAATACCGCATTTAGCGGGTTCAAGGCTATCCCTGACAGCGGAGTGTTGGAACGGATGCGCTGCAGAAGACCGTCTGCCGAGGCCCTGTCTTCCCTGTGGACGTGTGACAATATAGTTAACAAAATAACACTTTCTGTTTGAGCATATTAATGCTGGTGCTAGTAGTGTATACTTAGCCAGGTATAAGCCGTTTACAATTGATATGGTTAGAATGGCAAAATGTCCAACAGATGTTTAAAGCAAGTGTTTAGAACAAATGGTAGGTTGGTCAAATGTCTCTTATCATCTACAAAAACCGAAAAATTTGCCGAACAACTTGAAAAAGAGAGAACTTGCACTGCATTTGTTTTTTACCTGAAGTAACGTTTGATGAATTTTGACAGGGTCTCCACGGTGTGCCCCTCTAAGATGTAGGCCTTGTCGCAGCTCCTGAGGAGGGGACAGTTACTCTCCGGGCGGGTCGTGATCAGTGAGAAGGCGCGGCGCAGCGGAGACTTGCTGAAGGATTCCGCCATCTTCGCCTTGTGCGGAGACCTTACCTATCGAGGGCCAAGTGTTAAAAATTATACACATATGAATGTCGAGCGTAGGGTGGTGCCCATCTCCATTTCGTAGCCCTTGGGCGACACACAGTTGTGCAAGGCACTACAGCAGGGGGCTAGTCCGCTGGTAGTGCTGTGTGTTTGACCTTCCCACACTCTTTCTCATATGTGCTGAGTGCTAAGCAGAGAAAGAAGTGTGTACCATTTTTAAAGTCTTTGGTATGACCCGGCCGGGGTTTGAACTCACGACCTCCCGGTTACAAAGCGAGCACTCTAACAATTGAGCTATTGCACCGGTTGACAATACACATACACATATAGAGAACAAATATTCTCTCCTACACAAGTAAGAAAAAGGGTCTCACACATACAGCAGTTTTCTCTCTCCAACACAAGCAAGGGAAAACGGTCTCTCACTTACAACAGTTTCTCTCCCACACACATAGCTTTTTGTCTCTCCCACACAAGTGTTGAATAGGGTCTCCCCCACACAGAGCTTTCTTCTCTCCCACACAAGTGTTGAATAGGGTCTCCCCCACACAGAGCTTTCTTCTCTCCCACACAAGTGTTGAATAGGGTCTCCCCCATACAGAGCTTTCTTCTCTCCCACATGCTACAGAACACTTGTACGCCCACACCTGGGGTACTGTGCGACTGTATGGGATCCCCACACCATTGGCGGTTCCCAGGCGTTGGAGCGAGTCCAACGAAGGGCGGCGCGAATGGCTGTTAGTGATTATGACTACACCAGCAGTGTTTCTGACATGTTAAAGCGCCTCCAGTGGCCGTTACTTGTTGACAGAAGGAGAACCGCTCCCTTGATATCTTTATACAAAATTGGTCATGGACATATTAATATTCAAATGGAACAATATCTCAAACCTGCCCATAGGCGCACCAGAGGAAGTCATGAATATAAATATATATCAAGTAATACCTGCCAAAACAGACTGTTTTAGATTTTCTTTTTTTCCACAAACAATAAAAGAGTGGAATAAGCTGCCGGGACAGTTAGTACAAGCCCAGACAGTGGAGGCCTTTAAGGCCGGACTCCTGGCCGCGCAGCCATAGTCCGTCGTAACCCCCCCCCCCTCTCAGTGATACCCCAGTAGGGATTTTTCGAGAGTATCAAGAAGAAGAAGAAGAAGAAGAAGAACACTTGGCCCTCGATACTTACCTCATCCAGGCCGTCCATGATGACCAGGATCTGCTCCGGGTTGGATGAGACAAAGTCCCAGATCGCCTCCACTTCGTCATCGACGGCCTCGTCTGCTGCGATGATCTTGACGATCACGTCTTTCATGGAGGGAAAGCTGATCTTGTTCATCTCAACAAGGAACACCAGCTTGAACTTCTTCAGGGAGTGGACGGTGCCCTGCGCCCAATCGTAGGCGATCTTGTGGCAGAGCATGGTCTTGCCGATGCCAGCAGGACCTTCTACAAGAACGCAGGACGGCCCGTCGTCGAACAGCCACTCTTCCTGGAAGCTGTAGGACTTGTCCATGCAGTCTGCAGATACACTTCGCCGCTTCCCCTCCACGATAGCCAGATTTGTATAAACCTACAAAACGCATGTAACAAAACAATCATCCATGTACTACATGTATGACCGTTAACATCAACGGTTGTTGCTAACATTTGTGTCTTAGTTGGCGAGGCAGCATTTTGTCTACTTAGGAAATATTCTGTGTCACCTACTGAAACTTACAAATCTACTATCAATACCTTAATATAAAATATAAAGGAATTGTAAAAAATGTCAGAATTGTGTAGAAGGGCAACAAACATCCTTTTGTAAGATCCATAGAGCCGAGTTTTAAGAACAAGTAGACAATGTATGTGAATATAGCAATATCTATGACATGTCAGTTATGATGATATATATATCTATATATATATATCTATATATA